TGTGTGTGTCACTGTGGCTGTGTGTGTCACTGTGGCTGTGTGTATCACTGTGGCTGTGTGTATCACTGTGGCTGTGTGTGTCACTGTGGTGTGTGTCACTGTGGCTGTGTGTGTCACTGTGGCTGTGTGTGTCACTGTGGCTGTGTGTGTCACTGTGGCTGTGTGTGTCACTGTGGCTGTGTGGTGTCACTGTGGCTGTGTGGTATCACTGTGGCTGTGTGTGTCACTGTGGTGTGTGTCACTGTGGCTGTGGTGTGTCACTGTGGCTGTGTGTGTCACTATGGCTGTGTGTGTCACTATGGCTGTGTGGTATCACTGTGGCTGTGTGTGTCACTGTGTGTGTATCACTGTGGCTGTGTGTGTCACTGTGGCTGTGTGTGTGTCACTGTGTGTGTGTCACTGTGGCTGTGTGTGTGTCACTGTGGCTGTGTGTGTCACTGTGGCTGGTGTGTCACTATGGCTGTGTGTGTCACTGTGGCTGTGTGTGTCACTGTGTGTGTATCACTGTGGCTGTGTGTGTCACTGTGACTGTGTGTGTCACTGTGGCTGTGTGTGTCACTGTGGCTGTGTGTGTCACTGTGGCTGTGTGTGTCACTGTAGCTGTGTGTGTGTCACTGTGGCTGTGTGTGTGTCACTGTGGCTGTGTGTGTCACTGTGGCGTGTGGTGTCACTGTGACTGTGTTGGTCACTATGGCTGTGTGCGTATCACTGTGGCTGTGTGTGTCACTGTGGCTGTGTGTGTCACTGTGTGTGTATCACTGTGGCTGTGTGTGTCACTTGTGACTGTGTGTGCACTGTGGCTGTGTGGTGTCACTGTGGCTGTGTGTGTCACTGTGGCTGTGTGTATACACTGTGGCTGTGGTGTCACTGTGGCTGTGTGTGTCACTGTGGCTGTGTGTGTCACTGTGGCTGTGTGGTCACTGTGGCTGTGTGTGTCACTGTGGCTGTGTGTGTCACTGTGGCTGTGTGGTTTCACTGTGGCTGTGTGTGTGTCACTGTGGCTGTGTGTGTGTCACTGGTGGCGTGTGTGTATCACGTGGCTGTGTGTGTATCACTGTGGCTGTGTATTCACTGTGGCTGTGTGTGTCACTGTGGCTGTGTGTGTCACTGTGGCTTGTGTGTCACTGTGGCTGTGTGTGTCACTGTGGCTGTGTGTGTCACTGTGCTGTGTGTGTATCACTGTGGCTGTGTGTGTCCTGTGGCTGTGTGTGTCACTGTGGCTGTGTGTGTCACTGTGGCTGTGTGTGTCACTGTGACTGTGTGTGTCACTGTGGCTGTGTGTGTGTCACTGTGGCTGTGTGTGTGTCACTGTGGCTGTGTGTGTCACTGTGGCTGTGTGTATCACTGTGGCTGTGTGTGTCACTGTGGCTGTGTGTGTCACTGTGGCTGTGTGTGTCACTGTGGCTGTGTGTGTGTCACTGTGGCTGTGTGTGTGTCACTGTGGCTGTGTTTGTGTCACTGTGGCTGTGTGTGTGTCACTGTGGCTGTGTGTGTCACTGTGGCTGTGTGTGTCACTGTGGCTGTGTGTATCACTGTGGCTGTGTGTATCACTGTGGCTGTGTGTCACTGTGGCTGTGTGTTTCACTGTGGCTGTGTGTGTATCACTGTGGCTGTGTGTGTCACTGTGGCTGTGTGTGTCACTGTGGCTGTGTGTCACTGTGGCTGTGTGTTTCACTGTGGCTGTGTGTGTCACTGTGACTGTGTGTGTCACTGTGGCTGTGTGTGTCACTGTGGCTGTGTGTGTATCACTGTGGCTGTGTGTGTATCACTGTGGCTGTGTGTGTCACTGTGGCTGTGTGTGTCACTGTGGCTGTGTGTATCACTGTGGCTGTGTGTGTCACTGTGGCTGTGTGTGTGTCACTGTGGCTGTGTGTGTCACTGTGGCTGTGTGTGTGTCACTGTGGCTGTGTGTGTCACTGTGGCTGTGTGTGTGTCACTGTGGCTGTGTGTGTCACTGTGGCTGTGTGTGTCACTGTGGCTGTGTGTGTCACTGTGGCTGTGTGTGTCACTGTGGCTGTGTGTGTGTCACTGTGGCTGTGTGTGTCACTGTGGCTGTGTGTGTATCACTGTGGCTGTGTGTGTATCACTGTGGCTGTGTGTGTCACTGTGGCTGTGTGTGTGTCACTGTGGCTGTGTGTGTCACTGTGGCTGTGTGTATCACTGTGGCTGTGTGTATCACTGTGGCTGTGTGTGTCACTGTGGCTGTGTGTGTCACTGTGGCTGTGTGTGTCACTGTGGCTGTGTGTGTGTCACTGTGGCTGTGTGTGTCACTGTGGCTGTGTGTGTGTCACTGTGGCTGTGTGTGTGTCACTGTGGCTGTGTGTGTGTCACTGTGACTGTGTGTGTCACTGTGGCTGTGTGTGTCACTGTGGCTGTGTGTGTCACTGTGGCTGTGTGTGTCACTGTGGCTGTGTGTGTCACTGTGGCTGTGTGTGTCACTGTGGCTGTGTGTGTCACTGTGGCTGTGTGTGTCACTGTGGCTGTGTGTATCACTGTGGCTGTGTGTATCACTGTTGCTGTGTGTGTCACTGTTGCTGTGTGTGTGTCACTGTGGCTGTGTGTGTCACTGTGGCTGTGTGTATCACTGTGGCTGTGTGTATCACTGTGGCTGTGTGTGTCACTGTGGCTGTGGTGTGTCCACTGTGGCTGTGTGTGTGTGTCACTGTGGCTGTGTGTGTGTCACTGTGGCTGTGTGTGTCACTGTGGCTGTGTGTGTCACTCTGGACTGTGTGTGTCCTGGTTGCTGTGTGTGTGTCACTGTGGCTCCTGTGTGTGGTCACTGTGGCTGTGTGTGTCACTGTGGCTGTGTGTTCACTGTGGCTGTGTGTGTCACTGTGACTGTGTGTGTCACACTGTGGCTGTGTGTGTCACTGGGGCTGTGTGTGTGTCACTGTGGGCTGTGTGTGTCACTGTGGCTTGTGCGTGTCACTGTGGCTTGTGCGTGTCACTGTGGCTGTGCGTGTCACTGTGGCTGTGTGCTGTGTCACTGTGGCTGTGGGTACACTGTGGCTGTGTGTGTCACTGTGGCTGTGTGTTCCACTGTGGCTGTTGTGTGTCACTGTGGCTGTGTGTGTGTCACTGTGGCGTGTGTGTGTCCAACTGTGGCTGTGTGTAATCACTGTGGCTGTGTGTGTCACTGTGGCTGGTGTGTATCACTGTGGCTGTGTGTGTCACTGTGGCTGTGTGTGTCCACTGGTGGGCATGTGTGTGTTCACTGTGGCTGTGTGTGTCACTGTGGCTGTGTGTGTCACTGTGGCTAGTGTGTAGTCACTGTGGCTGTGTTCGTCACTGTGGCTGTGGTGCGTCACTGTGGCTGTGTTGTGTTCACTGTGGCTGTGTGTGTCACTGTGGCTGTGTGTGTCACTGTGGCTGTGTGTGTATCACTGTGGCTGTGTGTGTATCACTGTGGCTGTGTGTGTCACTGTGGCTGTGTGTGTCACTGTGGCTGTGGTGTCACTGTGGCTGTGTGTTCACTGTGCTGTGTGTATCACTGTGGCTGTGTGTATCACTGTGGCTGTGTGTGTCACTGTGGCTTGTGTGTGTCACTGTGGCTGTGTGTGTCACTGTGGCTGTGTGTGTGTCACTGTGGCTGTGTGTGTGTCACTGTGGCTGTGTGTGTGTCACTGTGGCTGTGTGTGTCACTGTGGCTGTGTGTTATCACTGTGGCTGTTGTTGTGTACAACTGGGTGCTGGTGTATCACTGTGGCTGTTGTATCATGTGGCGTGTGTGTCACTGTTGACTGTTTGTATCACTGTGCTGTGTGTGTATCACTGTGGCTGTGGTGGCACTCTGGCTGTGTGTGTGTCACTGTGGCTGTGGTGTCTCACTGTGGCTGTGTGTGTCACGTGGCTGTGTGTGTGTCACTGTGGCTGTGTGTATCACGTGGCTGTGTGTGTATCACTGTGGCTGTGTGTGTGTCACTGTGGCTGTGTGTGTCACTGTGGCTGTGTGTGTATCACTGTGGCTGTGTGTGTGTATCACTGTGCTGTGTGTGTCACTGTGGCTGTGTGTGTGTCACTGTGGCTGTGTGTGGTCACTGTGGCTGTGTGTGTGTCACTGTGGCTGTGTGTGTGTCACTGTGGCTGTGTGTGTCACTGTGGGCTGTGTGTGTGTCACTGTGGCTGTGTGTGTGTCACTGTGGCTGTGTGTGTGTCACTGTGGCTGTGTGTGTGTCACTGTGGCTGTGTGTGTCACTGTGACTGTGTGTGTGTCACTGTGGCTGTGTGTGTCACTGTGGCTGTGTGTGTCACTGTGGCTGTGTGTGTGTCACTGTGGCTGTGTGTGTGTCACTGTGGCTGTGTGTGTGTCACTGTGGCTGTGTGTGTCACTGTGGCTGTGTGTGTGTCACTGTGGCTGTGTGTGTATCACTGTTGCTGTGTGTGTCACTGTGGCTGTGTGTGTGTCACTGTGGCTGTGTGTGTCACTGTGGCTGTGTGTGTCACTGTGGCTGTGTGTGTGTCACTGTGGCTGTGTGTGTGTCACTGTGGCTGTGTGTGTCACTGTGGCTGTGTGTGTGTCACTGTGGCTGTGTGTGTCACTGTGGCTGTGTGTGTGTCACTGTGGCTGTGTGTGTGTCACTGGGCTGTGTGTGTGTCACTGTGGCTGTGTGTGTCACTGTGGCTGTGTGTGTGTCACTGTGGCTGTGTGTGTGTCACTGTGGCTGTGTGTGTCACTGTGGCTGTGTGTGTCACTGTGCTGTGTGTGTCACTGTGGCTGTGTGTGTCACTGTGGCTGTGTGTGTCACTGTGGCTGTGTGTGTCACTGTGGCTGTGTGTGTATCACTGTGGCTGTGTGTGTGTCACTGTGGCTGTGTGTGTGTCACTGTGGCTGTGTGTGTGTCACTGTGACTGTGTGCGTCACTGTGGCTGTGTGCCCCACTGTGGCTGTGTGTGTATCACTGTGGCTGTGTGTGTGTCACTGTGGCTGTGTGTGTGTCACTGTGGCTGTGTGTGTCACTGTGACTGTGTGCGTCACTGTGGTTTCGTGGTTTCTCCTCTAGGACCACGGACATCAATCACGATGCTGCTCACTGCACGAGCGTCACGGCCTCGCTCAACCACGTGACGCTTCAGCCGATCATCACCGACCTGGTGAGCCTCGGAATGAGTGAGCAGACTTAAGGGCCCCCTTCCGATATCAGTCCCTTCAAATGCAATCCGCCAAACGGGAAGTCTAAATTTCGATGTAGAGCTTTCGTGACTGCAGGGATTCATCTTCTTGGTTCTTTCGGTAAAGTCATCACGTAGAAGGGAAATAATGAAATAATAAAAATAAAACATAATAAAATACAATTCTCACGACGTTTCGGCCACAACGCAAGGAGCCGTCCTCAGGTGAAGAACAGGTCTGTCGGGAAGACAGCGTCATTAACATCATCATCATCAACAGCATCATCAACATCATCATCATTAACATCATCATCAACATCATCTACATCATCTACATCATCAACATCATCATCTTTTTTTTTTTCGATTTAAAGCTTTCGTGACTGCAGGGATTCATTTTCTTGGTTCTTTCGGTAAAGTCATCACGTAGAAGGGAAATAATCGAATAGTAAAAATAAAACATAATAAAATACAATTCACGTCTGTCGGAAAGACAGCGTCTGAATGACGCTGTCTTTCCGACAGACCTGTTCTTCACCTGAGGATGGCTGCTTGCGTTGTGGCCGAAACGTCGTGAGAATTATTTTATTATGTTTTATTTTTATTATTTTATTACTTCCCTTCTACGTGATGACTTTACCGAAAGAACCAAGAAGATGAATCCCTGCAGTCACGAAAGCTTTAAATTGAAATTTAATTTATTTCTTCCAATGATTGCTGAGCCAAAATCCATTAAATATACTCTGCCAAGCCTGGTGGTGTTCATTCAGACGCTGTCTTTCCGACAGACCTGTTCTTCACCTGAGGGACGGCTGCTTGCGTTGTGATAATTATTTTATAATGTTTAATTTTTATTCTTTTATTATTTCTCTTCTACGTGACTTTACCGAAAGAACCAAGAAGAATAGGGAATGTATTGTGTGATTCTTACACTCATCCTCTGAGTGTGGCGTGCAGTTGCCGCTCCTCCTTATGGGTCAGAGAGACCAGAACAAAGCGCTCGATATTATTCTTTGGTTCTTTCGGTAAAGTCACGTCTAAAGATAAAATAATAAGTTAAATAATAGCATACTACGACGTTTCGATTGCAACACAAGCAATCATCATCGGGCGTAAAAGAAATAGCAACAAAAATCTAACTAGAAAACTATAGACAGACATACAAGCAGACAGACATCACAAGGACACACAGAGAGAGACACGTATTGGCACAAAGAGAGAGGTCGTTTCTGTATTTAAGGCCCCGTCACAGAAACGACCTCTCTCTTTGTGCCGATACGTGTTCTCTCTCTCTGTGTGTGTCCTTGTGATGTCTGTCTGCTTGTATGTCTGTCTATAGTTTTCTAGTTAGATTGTTGTTGCTATTTCTTTTATGCCCGATGATGATTGCTTGTGTTGCAATCGAAACGTCGTAATATGCCACTATTTAGTTTATTATTTTATCTTTAGACGTGACTTTACCGAAAGAACCAAAGAATAGAGGTGGCTAAACGGGCGCGGCACGAGCTAGACTATAGACAGACATACAAGCAGACAGACATCACAAGGACACACACAAAGAGAGAGGTCGTTTCTGTGACGGTCCCTTAAATATAGAGAGGGGGGGGGGCGGGGGTGGAGAGAGGGAGGGGAGCAGAGAAACAATTAGCCTGTCAATGAGTGGACTGCAACGTGATGCTGCTACTACTGCAAGTAAGATGACGACACGGGCCTAGATAGGCCTTGGGGGCTAGAGGGGCCACGTGATTTTGTGTTGGTCACAGTGTTTGTCGTGGTGACCCCGTACCGCAGGTTCAAGCGCTCCTGCCACGTCTCTCCGGCTGCGTCGACCTCCTGCTCTTCAACCCTCCCTACGTCGTCACGGAATCAAGCGAGGTGTCCACCCCCCCCCCCCCATATCAGCCTGTCATGCCTCGTTAATAATTACCGCAACTATACCGGAACCGATTGGGCTTGCTCTGATGACCGGTGCAAGCAGTGGGAATCAGGTTATTTGTTTATACCGGAGGAATCTGATGAGCTGTGAACTTTCGATTTAAAGCTTTCGCGACTGCAGGGATTCATCTTCTTGGTTCTTTTCGGTAAAGTCATCACGTAGAAGGGAAGTAATAAAATAATAAAATAAAACATAATAAATTAATTCTCACGACGTTTCGGCCACAATGCAAGCAGCCGTCCTCAGGTGGAGAGCAGGTCTGCACCGGTCATCAGCAAGTACTCTGTACGCTGTGTGTGTACTCTGTGTGTGTACACTGCGTGTACTCTGTGTGTACTCTGTGTGTACTGTGTGTACTCTGTGTGTGTACTCTGTGTGTGTACTGTGTGTGTACTCTGTGTGTGTACACTGCGTGTACTCTGTGTATACTCTGTGTGTGTACTCTGCGTGTGTACTGTGTGTACTCTGCGTGTGTACTCTGTGTGTGTACTGTGTGTGTACTCTGTGTGTACTCTGTGTGTGTACTCTGCGTGTGTACTCTGTGTGTGTACTGTGTGTACTCTGTGTGTGTACTCTGCGTGTGTACTCTGTGTGTACTCTGTGTGTACTGTGTGTACTCTGTGCGTGTACTCTGTGTGTACTCTGTGTGTGTACTCTGTGTACTCTGTGCGTGTGTACTCTGTGTGTACTCTGTGTGAACTGTGTGTGTGTACTTTGTGTGTGTACTCTGTGTGTACTCTGTGTGTGTACTCTGTGTGTACTCTGCGTGTGTACTCTGTGTATATTCTGTGTGTGTACTGCGTGTACTCTGTGTGTGTACTCTGTGTGTGTACTCTGTGTGTGTACTCTGCGTGTGTACTCTGTGCGTGTACTCTGTGTGTGTACTCTGTGTGTGTACTCTGTGTGTACTCTGCGTGTACTGTGTGTACTCTGCGTGTGTACTGTGTGTGTGTACTCTGCGTGTACTCTGTGTGTGTACTCTGCGTGTGTACTGTGTGTGTACTCTGTGTGTACTGTGTGTGTACTCTGTGTGTGTACTCTGCGTGTACTCTGTGTGTGTACTGTGTGTGTGTACTGTGTGTACTCTGTGTGTGTACTCTGCGTGTACTCTGTGTGTGTACTCTGCGTGTGTACTCTGTGTGTACTCTGTGTGTGTACTGTGTGTTGTACTGTGTGTGTACTCTGCGTGTGTACTGTGTGTGTACTCTGTGTGTGTACTCTGCGTGTGTACTGTGTGTGTACTCTGTGTGTACTGTGTGTACTCTGTGTGTATACTCTGTGCGTGTACTCTGTGTGTGTACTCTGCGTGTACTGTGTGTACTCTGCGTGTGTACTCTGTGTGTGTACTCTGTGTGTGTACTCTGCGTGTGTACTGTGTGTGTACTGTGTGTACTCTGTGTGTATACTGTGTGTGTACTGTGTGTGTGTACTGTGTATACTCTGTGTGTGTGTACTCTGTGCGTGTACTCTGTGTGTGTACTCTGCGTGTGTACTCTGTGTGTACTGTGTGTACTCTGTGTGTGTACTCTGCGTGTACTCTGTGTGTGTACTCTGTGTGTACTGTGTGTGTACTGTGTGTGTGTACTGCGTGTACTCTGTGTGTGTACTCTGTGTGTGTACTCTGCGTGTGTACTCTGCGTGTGTACTCTGTGTGTACTCTGTGTGTACTCTGTGTGTGTACTCTGTGTGTGTACTCTGTGTGTATACTCTGTGTGTACTCTGTGTGTACTCTGTGTGTGTACTCTGTGTGTGTACTCTGTGTGTATACTCTGTGTGTACTCTGTGTGTACTCTGTGTGTGTACTCTGCGTGTGTGCTGTGTGTGTACTCTGTGTGTACTGTGTGTGTACTCTGTGTGTGTACTCTGCGTGTACTCTGTGTGTGTACTGTGTGTGTACTGTGTGTGTACTGTGTGTGTGTACTGTGTGTACTCTGTGTGTGTACTCTGCGTGTACTCTGTGTGTGTACTGTGTGTACTGTGTGTACTCTGTGTGTGTACTCTGCGTGTACTCGGTGTGTCTACTCTGTGTGTGTACTCTGTGTGTGTACTCTGTGTACTGTGTGTGTACTCTGTGTGTGTACTCTGTGTGTGTACTCTGAGTGTGTACTGTGTGTGTACTCTGTGTGTGTACTGTGTGTACTCTGTGTGTGTACTCTGCGTGTACTCTGTGTGTGTACTCTGTGTGTACTCTGCGTGTACTCTGTGTGTGTACTCTGTGTGTACTCTGTGTATACACTGTGTGTGTACTGTGTATACACTGTGTGTGTACTCTGTGTGTACTCTGTGTGTGTACTGTGTATACACTGTGTGTGTACTCTGTGTGTACTCTGTGTGTGTACTCTGTGTGTGTACTTTGTGTGTGTACTCTGTGTGTGTACTGTGTGTACTCTGTGTGTGTACTCTGTGTGTACTCTGTGTGTGTACTCTGTGTGTACTCTGCGTGTGTACTCTGTGTGTACTCTGTGTGTGTACTCTGTGTGTACTCTGTGTGTGTACTGTGTGTACTCTGTGTGTGTACTGTGTGTACTCTGTGTGTACTCTGTGTGTGTACTGTGTGTGTACTCTGTGTGTGTACTGTGTGTACTCTGTGTGTGTACTGTGTGTGTGTACTCTGTGTGTGTACTGTGTGTGTGTACTCTGTGTGTGTACTCTGTGTGTGTACTCTGTGTGTGTACTCTGCGTGTGTACTCTGTGTGTACTCTGTGTGTACTCTGTGTGTGTACTCTGTGTGTACTCTGTGTGTACTGTGTGTGTACTCTGTGTGTACTCTGTGTGTACTCTGTGTGTATACTCTGTGTGTGTACTGTGTGTGTACTCTGTGTGTGTACTCTGTGTGTGTACTCTGCGTGTACTCTGTGTGTACTCTGTGTGTATACTCTGTGTGTGTACTCTGTGTGTACTCTGTGTGTACTCTGTGTGTACTCTGTGTGTATACTCTGTGTGTGTACTCTGTGTGTGTACTCTGTGTGTACTCTGTGTGTATACTCTGTGTGTGTACTGTGTGTATACTCTGTGTGTGTACTGTGTGTGTACTCTGTGTGTGTACTCTGTGTACTCTGTGCAGGTGGGGCTGGGTGACGTCTCGAGCTCATGGGCGGGCGGTGCGAGGGGTCGCGAGGTCGTGGACCGACTCCTCCCGCTGGTGGCGTCGCTGCTGTCGCCCTCGGGGGCGTTCTACCTCGTGTGCGAGCAGCTCAACGCGCCCGGTGAGTGGGGCACACCACTCACTCACCACTCACTCACCACTCACACTCACCACTCACTCACTCACTCACCACTCACTCACCACTCACTCACCACTCACACTACACACACACACCGCTCACCACTCACTCACCACTCACTGCTCACCACTCACTCACTCACCACTCACCACTCACCACTCACACTCACCACTCACTCACCACTCACTCACTCACCACTCACTCACCACTCACACTCACCACTCACTCACCACTCACTCACCACTCACCACTCACTCACCACTCACTCACTCACCACTCACTCACTCACTCACTCACTCACTCACCACTCACTCAACACTCACTCACCACTCAACACTCACTCACCACTTACACACCACTCACTCACTCACCACTCACTCACCACTCACTCACCACTCACTCACTCTACACACCACTCACTCACTCACCACTCACTCACCACTCACTCACTCACTCACCACTCACACTACACACACTCACCACTCACTCACTCACCACTCACTCACCACTCACTCACCACTCACTCACTCACACCGCTCACCACTCACTCACCACTCACACTCACCACTCACTCACCACTCACTCACCACTCACTCCACCACACACTCACCACTCACTCACCACTCACTCACCACTCACTCACTCACCACTCACTCACCACTCACACTCACCACTCACTCACCACTCACTCACCACTCCACTCACCACACCACTCACCACTCACTCACTCACCACTCACTCACTCACTCACCACTCACTCACCAATCACTCACTCACCACTCACTCACCCACCACTCACTCACCACTCACCACTCACTCACCACTCACTCACCACTCACTCACCACACACTCACCACTCACTCACACTCACTCACTCACCACTCACACTCACCACTCACTCACCACTCACTCACCACTCACTCACCCACCACTCACCACTCACTCACCACTCACTCACTCACCACTCACTCACCACACACTCACACTCACTCACCCCCACTCACACTCACTCACTCACTCACTCACTCACTCACTCACTCACCACGCCTCACACTCACTCACTCACCACTCACTCACCACTCACTCACTCACCACTCACCACTCACTCACCACTCACTCCCCACACACTCACCACTCACTCATCACCACTCACTCACTCTCTCACCACTCACCCACTCACTCACTCACCACTCACTCACCACTCACTCACCACTCACACTGCTTACACACTCACTCACCACTCACTCACCACTCACTCACTCACCACTCACTCACCACTCACTCACCACTCACACTCACCACTCACTCACCACTCACTCACCACCCACTCACCACTCACTCACCACTCACTCACCACTCACTCACTCACCACTCACTCACTCACCACTCACTCACCACTCACCACTCACTCACCACTCACTCACCACACACTCACCACTCACTCACCACTCACTCACCACTCACTCACCACTCACTCACCTCTCTCACCACTCAACACCACTCACTACTCACACTCACCTCACCACTCACTCACCACTCACTCACTCACCACTCACCTCACTCACCACTCACTCCTCACCACTCACTCCACAACACACTCACCACTCACTCACCACTCACTCACTCACCACTCACTCACCACTCACTCACCACTCACTCACTCACCACTCACTCACCACTCACTCACTCACACTCACTCACCACACACTCACCACTCACTCACCACTCACTCACCACTCACCACTCACTCACCACACACTCACCACTCACACTACACACACTCACTCACCACTCACTCACCACTCACTCACCACTCACTTACTCACCACTCACTCACCACTCACTCACTCACTCACCACTCACTCACCACTCACTCACCAATCACTCACCACTCACTCACCACTCACTCACCACTCACTCACTCACCACTCACTCACTCACCACTCACACTACACACACTACACACACCACACACACACACCACTCACTCACTCACCACTCACTCACCACACACTCACCACTCACTCACCACTCACTCACCACTCACTCACTCACCACTCACTCTACTCACTCACTCACCACTCACTCACCACTCACTCACACACTCACCACTCACTCACCACTCACTCACCACTCACTCACCACTCACTCACCACACACTCACCACTCACTCACCACTCACTCACTCACCACTCACTCACCACTCACTCACTCACTCACCATCACTCACTCACTCACCACTCACTCACCACTCACTCACCACTCACTCATTCACCACTACCACTCACTCACCACTCACTCACCACTCACTCACCACTCACTCACTCACTCACCACTCACTCACCACTCACTCACTCACACTCACCACTCACTCACTCACCACTCACTCACCACTCACTCACTCACCACTCACTCACCACTCACTCACCACTCACTCACTCACCACTCACTCACCACTCACCACTCACTCACCACACACTCACTCACTCACCACTCACTCCCACTCACTACTCACCACCACCACCACCACTCACTCACCACTCACTCACTCACCACTCACTCACTCACCACTCACTCACCACTCACTCATTCACCACTCACTCACCACTCACTCACCACTCACTCACCACCACTCACTCACCACTCACTCACTCACTCACCACTCACTCACCACTCACCTACACTCACCACTCACTCACCACACACTCACCACTCACTCACACTCACTCACCACTCACTCCTCACTCACCACTCACCACTCACTCACCACCACTCACCACTCACTCACCACTTACTCATCACCATCACCACTCACTCACCACTCACACCACTCACTCACTCACCACTCACCACTCACTCACCACTCACTCACCACACACTCACCACTCACTCACCACTCACTCACTCACCATCACTCACCACTCACCACTCACTCACTCACCACTCACCCACTCACTCACTCACCACTCACTCACCACTCACTCACCACTCACATCACTCACCCTCACTCACACTCACTCACCCACTCACTCACTCACCACTCATCACACTCACTCACCACTCACTCACCACTCACTCACACTCACCACTCACACACCACACACCACACACACACACCACTCACTCACCACTCACTCACCACTCACTCATCACTCACTGCTCACCACTCAATCACCACGTCACACCACACACACTACACACTCACTCACCATTCACTGCTCACACACTAACTCGCCACTCACACTGCTCACACACACACTACACTCACCACTCACTCACCACTCACTCACCACTCACTGCTCACCACTCACTCACCACTCACTGCTCACCACTCACTCACCACTCACTCACCACTCACTCACACTCATTGCTCACCACACACTCACACTCACCACACACTCACCACTCACACTCACACTCACCACACACTCACCACTCACACTCACTGCTTACCACACACTCACCCTCACACTCACACTCACCACACACTCACCACTCACACTCACTGCTTACCACACTCTCACCACTCACACTCACACTCACCACACACTCACCACTCACACTCACTGCTTACCACACACTCACCACTCACACTCACCACACACTCACCACTCACACTCACCACACACACTCACTGCTCACCACACGCACCACATACTCACCACACACTCACCACTCACACTCACCACACACACTCACCACACACTCACCACACACTCACCACACACTCACCACTCACACTCACCACACACACTCACTGCTCACCACACGCACCACACACTCACCACTCACACTCACACACACTCACACTCACACTCACCACACACACTCACCACACACACTCACCACACACACTCACCACACACACTCACCACACACACTCACCACACACACTCACTGCTCACAAGCACCACACACACTCACCACACACACTCACCACACACACTCACTGCTCACCACACGCCACACCACACTCACACTCACACTCACACACACTCACCACAACACCACACACTCACCACACACACTCACCACACACTCACCACTCACACTCACCACACACACTCACCACACACACTCACCACACACTCACCACTCACACTCACCACACACACTCACCACACACTCACCACTCACACTCACCACACACACTCACCACACACACTCACCACACACACTCACCACACACACTCACCACTCACACTCACCACACACACTCACCACACACACTCACCACACACACTCACCACACACACTCACCACACACACCCACCACACACTCACCACTCACACTCACCACACACACTCACCACACACACTCACCACACACTCACCACTCACACTCACCACACACACTCACGACACACACCACACACACCACACACATAGTCAAAGCTCACCACACACAAACTGCTCACACTTACTCACTGCTCTGACTCACCACATTACTACACACACACATCACACACACACACACACCACACACTCACCACTCACACTCACCACACACTCACCACACACTCAGCACGAACTCCCCACTCACACTCATCACTCACCAAACACATAGTCAAAGCTCACCACACACACACTTACTCACTGCTCTCACTCACTGCTCCGACTCACCACATTACTACACACACACACATCACACACACACACCACACACTCACCACTCACACTCACCACACACTCACCACACACTCACCACACACTCAGCACGAACTCCCCACTCACACTCATCACTCACCAAACACATAGTCAAAGCTCACCACACACACACTTACTCACTGCTCTCACTCACCGCATTACTACACACACACACATCACACACTCACCGCATTAGACTCACCACACACACACCACTCGCACTCATCGCTCACATGCACCACTCATAGCATCACACCATATGATCACCACACACACTCACCACATCACACTACACACACTGCTCACACCACACACCACACACACCACTTACATTCACCACATGACACTCACACACCGCTTCACACTCACTAACTCACCACACACTCACCGCTCACCACACACTCACCGCTCACCACAAACACACACACACACACCGATCTCACTCACCGCATTACTACACGCACACTCACCACACATTCACCGCTCACCACACACTTACCGCTCACCACAAACACACACACACACACCGATCTCACTCACCGCATTACTACACGCACACTCACCACACATTCACCGCTCACCACACACTTACCGCTCGCCACAAACACACACACACACACCGATCTCACTCACCGCATTACTACACGCACACTCACCACACATTCACCGCTCACCACACACTTACCGCTCACCACAAACACACACACACACACACCGATCTCACTCACCGCATTACTACACGCACACTCACCACACATTCACCGCTCACCACACACTTACCGCTCACCACAAACACACACACACACACCGATCTCACTCACCGCATTACTACACGCACACTCACCACACATTCACCGCTCACCACACACTTACCGCTCACCACAAACACACACACCGATCTCACTCACCGCATTACTACACGCACACTCACCACACATTCACCGCTCACCACACACTCGCCGCTCACCACACACACCACACACACCACACACACCACACACTCACTGACTCAGACTCACCACACACACACCGTTCGTTCACACTCACCATACACACACACCACTCACACTCACCGTATTACACCACACACATATACACCACACATACTCACCACTTGCACCACCCACACAAACCACTCACACACACCGCATCATTCCACACACCACTCAGTGTAAGCGGTGCTGCTGAAATTATGCACTCACAGAGGCCGTGAGATTGATGGGATGTGTAAATGCTTTGATTTTCTACGTGGAGAGAGGGATACGTGAAGCTGACACATTGTCTGCTTGTCTGTCTTGTTCAAGTTCTTTATTAGGTATAGCCCTGTGAGCCATTCGGCTCTTGAATCGGGTGCAACCGCAACAAACAAAAAACAAAAAAATGAACAAAAAACATCTTAAAGTGACTATGTGACTGAGTGACTGTGTGACTGAGTGAGTGAGTGACTGTGTGACTGAGTGACTGAGTGAGTGACTGTATTACTGAGTGAATATGTGACTGAGTGACTGAGTGAGTGAGTGACTGTATTACTGAGTGAATATGTGACTGAGTGACTGAGTATATTACTGAGTGACTGAGTGAGTGACTGAGTGACTGTGTGACTGAGTGAGTGACTGTGTGACTGAGTGAGTGAGTGACTGTGTGACTGAGTGACTGAGTGAGTGAGTGACTGTATTACTGAGTGAATATGTGACTGAGTGACTGAGTATATTACTGAGTGACTGAGTGAGTGACTGAGTGACTGTGTGACTGAGTGACTGTGTGACTGAGTGAGTGAGTGACTGAGTGAGTGAGTGACTGTATTACTGAGTGAATATGTGACTGAGTGCAAACAGAAACCCAAGAAAAGACAGCAAAATATTGCACAAAAGAATCACCGTACACCAACGCTGTGTGCAAAAATCCCAGTGGGATGCAAGTCAAACAACAACAACAACAACCACAAAACAACTTAGATTAAGGCCATCAGTCTAACTCTGTACTACAACAACACAAACATGGCCAAACCAATACACTTTTCGAAATCACCAAAATAAAGCCATGAAAGCAATGAAACAGTGATCACAGGAACTGTGACGGGATTATTGTTATTTATATTCTCCACAAAGACGTATCATGGTTACTTTGAGTTGCACCACACACCACATTGTGTGATTGTGCGACTATGGCTATGTGACTGTGTGTTCATGTGACTCTGAGTCCGTGTGTCTGTGTATCGCTGTGGCTATGTCACTGTGTGGCCGTGTCCATGTTGCTGTCTAATTGGCTAAAGCACAGCAAGTTGGCACAGTAGAGGGCACAGGTGGTGCATCAGCCAGTCATCTCAGTCATCTCAGTCGACCCGTGGCACCTGCTGGGTCTGCCCCGTGACCTCCTGCCAGCGGGCGTTCGACACTTCACGTGGCCTCTAGGTGCACTTGGCCTGGCACAAGCGTCGTGGTGACGTCACCGCCACTTAGTGGCGAATGGTGGTTGTTGTTGTTGTTGATATGTGTCAATGTGTCCTAGTGGTTGTGTTACTGTGTGCCCACGTGACTGTGTGTCTGTGTGGCTGTGGTGGTGGTGTGACTGTGTGTTCATGTTTCCATGTGGCTGTGTGTCTGTTGTGGCTGTGTGGTGGTGTGGCTGTGTGTCTCTGTGACTGTGTGTCTGTGTGTCTGTGTGACTGTGTGGCTGTGTGTTCATGTTTCCATGTGGCTGTGTGACTGTGTGACTGTGTGGTTGTGTGTTCATGTTTCCATGTGACTGTGTGACTGTGTGGCTGTGTGTTCATGTTTCCATGTGGCTGTGTGACTGTCAGTGGCTGTGTGACAGGTGTCAGTTTTGTTGCCAGATAAAAGGGTAAAAAACCAATTATCATGTGTGACTGTGTGTTCATGTTTCCATGTGGCTGTATGTCTGTGTGACTGTGTGTCTGTGTGTCTGTGTGGCTGTGTGTTCATGTTTCCATGTGGCTTTGTGACTGTGTGTCTGTGTGTCTGTGTGTTCATGTTTCCATGTGACTGTGTGACTGTGTGGCTGTGTGTCTGTGTGTTCATGTTTCCATGTGGCTGTGTGACTGTGTGTCTGTGTGTCTGTGTGTTCATGTTTCCATGTGGCTGTGTGACTGTGTGTCTGTGTGTTCATGTTTCCATGTGGCTGTGTGACTGTGTGTCTGTGTGTCTGTGTGTCTGTGTGTCTGTGTGTCTGTGTGGCTGTGTGTTCATGTTTCCATGTGGCTGTGTGACTGTGTGACTGTGTGGTTGTGTGTTCATGTTTCCATGTGTCTGTGTGGCTGTGTGTCTGTGTGGATGTGTGTTCATGTTTCCATGTGGCTGTATGTCTGTGTGGCTGTGTGTTCATGTTTCCATGTGGCTGTGTGACTGTGTGTCTGTGTGTCTGTGTGGCTGTGTGTTCATGTTTCCATGTGTCTGTGTGGCTGTGTGTCTGTGTGGATGTGTGTTCATGTTTCCATGTGGCTGTATGTCTGTGTGGCTGTGTGTTCATGTTTCCATGTGGCTGTGTGACTGTGTGTCTGTGTGTCTGTGTGTCTGTGTGTCTGTGTGGCTGTGTGTTCATGTTTCCATGTGTCTGTGTGGCTGTGTGTCTGTGTGGATGTGTGTTCATGTTTCCATGTGGCTGTATGTCTGTGTGGCTGTGTGTTCATGTTTCTATGTGGCTGTGTGACTGTGTGTCTGTGTGTCTGTGTGTCTGTGTGTCTGTGTGTCTGTGTGGCTGTGTGTTCATGTTTCCATGTGGCTGTGTGACTGTGTGACTGTGTGGTTGTGTGTTCATGTTTCCATGTGTCTGTGTGGCTGTGTGTCTGTGTGGATGTGTGTTCATGTTTCCATGTGGCTGTATGTCTGTGTGGCTGTGTGTTCATGTTTCCATGTGGCTGTGTGACTGTGTGTCTGTGTGTCTGTGTGGCTGTGTGTTCATGTTTCCATGTGTCTGTGTGGCTGTGTGTCTGTGTGGATGTGTGTTCATGTTTCCATGTGGCTGTATGTCTGTGTGGCTGTGTGTTCATGTTTCCATGTGGCTGTGTGACTGTGTGTCTGTGTGTCTGTGTGTCTGTGTGTCTGTGTGGCTGTGTGTTCATGTTTCCATGTGTCTGTGTGGCTGTGTGTCTGTGTGGATGTGTGTTCATGTTTCCATGTGGCTGTATGTCTGTGTGGCTGTGTGTTCATGTTTCTATGTGGCTGTGTGACTGTGTGTCTGTGTGTCTGTGTGTCTGTGTGTCTGTGTGTCTGTGTGGCTGTGTGTTCATGTTTCCATGTGACTGTGTGACTGTGTGGCTGTGTGGCTGTGTGTTCATGTTTCCATGTGACTGTGTGTCTGTGTGTTTGTGTGTCTGTGTGTCTGTGTGTTCATGTTTCCACGTGTCTGTGTGATTGCAGGAGAGGTGATGGCGTGGTTTCGTGATCGTGGCTTCTCCTCATCCTCGGTCAACTCCCAGAGAGCCGGAACAGAAATCCTCTCTGTGCTGAGGATTGAGCGCTCGACGTCATAGAGACACAACAACAACAACAACCACGACGCTTGTGCCAGGCCATGTGCACCTTGAGGCCACGTGAAGTGTCGAACGCCCGCTGGCAGGAGGTCACGGGGCAGACCCAGCAGGTGCCACGGGTCGACTGACTGAGATGACTGGCTGATGCGCCACCTGTGCCCCCTACTGTGCCAACTTGCTGTGCTTTAGCCACCCGGCGCTCCGCTCGTTGTTGTGAGTGTCGCTCTTCCGCCCTCCGTTGTTGTTGGAGGGCGACTGCCTCCAACTGCCCAGTAGCGTCCTTCACGAGCCTCCTCCACAGAGGCCGATCTTGACACCGCTGGTACCAGTCATCGGCAAGTCCACTCAGCTCCACGTCCTCCTGTACCGCATCACTCCATCTCTTCTCTAGCCCGTGCCGCGCCCGTTTAGCCCCCTCGATCCGGCCGAACAAAAACTGTTTAGGCATGCGGTGGCTGGGCATGCGGGCTACATGACCCAGCCAACGCAGCCTTGCCCGCCGGAGGAGCTCACCGATGGGACTGATCTTCCCAGATCTTTCGTACAAACACACACGGACTCATAGAGATGCACACAACAACCGCCATTTGCCACTGAGTGGCAGTGATGACACCATGGCGCTTGTGCCAAGGCTATGTGCACTGTAAGGCCACTTGAAGTGTCGAAGGCTTGCTGGCAGGTCACAGGACAGACCCAAGTGCCGTGGGTTGACTGACTGAGATGACTGGCAAATGCACCACCTGTGCCCCCTACTGTGACAACTTTCTGTGTTTTAGCCACCCGGCGCTTTGCTCGTTGTTGTGAGCATCGCTCCTCTGCCCTCCGCAGTTGTGAGGGTGACTGCCTCCAACTGCCCAGTAGCGTCCTTCACGAGCCTCCTCCACAGAGGCCGATACACCATTGCTACCAGTCAACGGCAAGTCCACTCAACTCCATATCCTCTTGTACCGCAAGAATAAATCTCCTCTCCAACCTGTGTCGTGCCAATTTAGCCCCCTCTATCCGGCTGACCAAAAGCTGTTTGGGCATGCGGTGTCTGGGCATGCAGGCTACGTGCTCGAGCCAATGCAGCCTTGCCTGCCGGAGTAGCTCACCGATGGGACTGTCTAGATTTTCTAAGGATTTGTAAGGTCCTCACACAATCCAGCCTGCTGGTTAAACCCAGGATGGATCATAGACAGGCCAACCTGAATATTTGTAACTAGCACAGATGTTCCATTAGGGGGGGTCCACGTTTCACAAGCGTAGAGAAGACAGTGCATGATTGTGGCCAATAGACCAGGTAGCTTCCACACAGCGTTACGCAGCCGATGATAAAATGTCGCTAAACTGATTCGCAGTGAGACCTGTGCTGTCAAATTGGAGCTGGTCATAAGCACACTGCCCAGGTATGGAAACCTATGTACTCTCTCCACAAATGCCCCATCACCAATGGGGAGTTGAGGCAGTAGAGTATTTAATGACACAAAATACCAATGCAGCAGTTTAGTTTTTGTGCGGCTGATGGTAAGGCTCCATCTCTTAGTAGCACGCTCCAGATTCTGATCGAACAGGAATTACCAGATCATCAGCATTCATAAGATCATTGGAACCTCATTTGCCTGTAAAAAATATGATAATTGATTTTTTACCCTTCTATCTGGCAACAAAACTGACACCTTTTTTTTTACAAAAAACATAAAACTGATAATATATGCAGACAGTGCATATATTATCAGAGTTTTGTTTGCATTATGGCTGCAGGTATTGTGGTCTATGCAAACATGACTCCTCGTAAAAAAAGGTGTCAGTTTTGTTGCCAGATAGAAGGGTAAAACACCAATTATCATTCATAACATGTTGGGGAAAGTGCTGTTAGCGAGTATCTATGACGACTGTCACAGAGCAATAGGCGGTGGGTGACCAGCACCACAACTGGTCACCTTTGTTTCCAAAAACGATTGTTTACACAGTGCACCAGGTACCGATTTGAGGCTAAGTTGACTACGAGTGAGAATCAAACTCATGTCGCAGTGGCGCTAACCGCTACACCACCGCTCCCCACGCTGCCACCCATAGAGGTGGAGCGGCAACGTTGAGAGCTGTACGCGATTAGCAGCCTGTAATAACATCCTCGAGTCCACAGGGGGCAGAGGGGAGTCTGATGGTGAGGATTCTAGATTTGAAGCTTTCGTGGTTGCAAGGATTCATATTCTTAGGTTTTTTCGGTGAAGTCACGTTGGTAAAAAAATTTAAATTAATAAAAATTAAACAATAAAATCACGACGTTTCGGAGGCAACACAAGCTTCCGTCTTCAGGTGGAACTGTCACAGCAAAATATCTGTATCAAGACTTCTTGTCTCGTTGTCTGTTAAAAGTTCTAACAGATAGGTCTTCCTCAAGAGATGCATTTTTGTACCTACGTGACTTTACCGAAAGAACTACGGGGAGTAATTTCACCTATCTGTTAGAACTTTTAACAGACAACGAGACAAGAAGTCTTGATACAGATATTTTGCTGTGACAGTTTCACCTGAAGACGGAAGCTTGTGTTGCCTCCGAAACGTCGTGATTTTATTGTTTTTTATTTTTATTAATTTTAATTTCATGTTTTACCTACATGGTGACTTTACCGAGAGAACTAAGAGTAGGATTATATTCTTAGGTTTTTTCGGTAAAGTCACCAGGTAGGTAAAAAATTTCAATTAATAAAAGTAAAAAAAAATCACGACGTTTCGGAGGCAACACAAGCTTCCGTCTTCAGGTGGAACCGTCACAGCCACGACAGCTGTATCAAGTGAGCACGATAGCTGTATCAAGTGAGAGAAATTCACTTGATACAGCTATCGTGCTGTGACGGTTCCACCTGAAGACGGAAGCTTGTGTTGCCTCCGAAACGTCGTGATTTTTATTTTATTTTGCTTTTATTAATTTTTTACCTACGTGACTTTACCGAAAAAACCTAAGAATATGAGGGTGAGGAGTCAGGCCGTTGGACTGCGGTAACCCTAAGGCAGCTCGGGACCACAGGTCAGAGGTCGCAACCGGGTACCCGATACCCGTACCCTACCCGGTACCCGGCTACCTATACCTGGCCGGGTACGGGTAGCCGTTTGCGACCCTGGTGCGGCCGGGTACGGGTAGGCCGTGAGTCACTGGTGAGTCACCGTTTGTCACTCAATTCCCAACGTCTTGTCTCTTCTCACAATTCAAGTTCCTAGAATCAACCCACCCGCGCCTGCAACATGACTTCATCCCAGAGGTCGCAAGCAGGTACCCGATACCGGCCGGGTACGGGTAGGGTACGGGTACGGCCGGGTACGGGTAAGGAATCGAAACCCGTTTGCGACCTCTGCCACAGGTACAAATCTCCAGACCCCCTGGAAAGGTGCTGGGGGATAACGTCACTCCCCAGGCCCTTCCAGACGGTACCAGACGGTTCCAGAAGGGAGGAGGGGCTAAGGGTGGGGTGAGACAGAAACGGTATAAAAGCCGGTCCCCTAAACGGGACCGGCAGTCGTCGTCAAGCAGACGACCCGAAGACCTGCCAGTTTCAAGTTTAGTTTATTAGGTGTAGCTCTGTGAGCCATTCGGCTCTTGAATAGGGTGCAACCGCAACAAACAAAAAACAAAAACATGAACAAGAAAACATCTTAAAGTGAATATGTGCAAACAGAAAATCCAAGAAAAGACAGCAAAATATTGCAGAAAAAGCACCGTACACCAACACTGTGTGCAAAAATCCAAGTGGGATGCAAGTCAAACAACAACAATCACAAGACAACTTAGATTAAGGCCATCAGTCTAACTCTGGACTACAACAAACAAACATGGCCAAACCAAAAAACTTTTCGAAAATAACCAAAATAAAGCCATAAAAGCAATGAAACAGTGGTCATATGAACTGTGACATAATTTTCACAATAAACGACATAAACAACATGTACCACCAAAACCCTGCAGCCATAGGGGTGCTTATCATTGAATAGGACCCTGGGAAACCCCGAACCTGAAGTCCTTGTCAGGGCCATGGACCGAGTGGGCCAGTGGTCGGGACCCAAGAACTTTGGCTGGGTCGGGTCAGGCTCGCCTCCCCTAGGTCCTGCTAGCCGGAGGGCTGATAAATAGAGAGTGGTCCCAGTGATTAGGGCACGTTAGCCGGAGGCTCTACCTCCCCAGGGTATCGGGTGGAAGGAGCCGAGACCCCTTTGCGTCAGGGACCTTGTGTTGCTTTATAAATAAACGTGTTGTCTCCAGAGAAGACTTGGTTTCCATCCTTACCCACGACAGAGGTATACACACGCACCATAACTATCAGCTGAACCGTCCGCATGACGAATCGCATCAGTCACACTTCTGTGTGAATCAAGTCCGATCTGTGGTCCAGGCTTCCAGCCACATACGTCATACATGGAGATTCACACAACGTCGCCAGCTGCATGTGTAGTAACATCGCGGATGTCACTGTGTAATGCCAGCCCTAGAGAGGCACGGCATGCGATGTATTGACATCGCAGGCACCACGTGGATGTGGGTGCAGTACAGGCCCCAGAGGGGCTCGGTGAGCACTGACTGGCAGTGCTGGAGGGCACCACGCTCTGCGTGCAGTGCCGACCCCTACAGGATAGGGTGCGAGAGTGCCGGCCATGGAAATGTGGTTAATTCTAGATTTGAAGCTTTCGTGACTGCAAGGATTCATACTCGTAGTTCGTTCGGTAAAGTCGTCACGTAGGTAAAAAAATGAAATTAAAATTAATAAAAATAAAACAATAAAATCACGACGTTTCGGAGGCAACACAAGTCTCCGTCTTCAGGTGGAACCGTCACAGCCACGACAGCTGTATCAAGTAAATGAGAGATTGCAGGAGCTACCACTCCGTTTATATAATGGTTGGAGAGGGGGGAAGTGCCAAGTACGGCACACTTTTTATTACACACACTCACCGCTCACACTCACCACACACTCAGCACACACATTCACCACACACACTCACCACACACTCACCACTCACATTCACCACACACTTAGCAGACACTCAGCACTCACACTCACCACACACTCAGCACACACTCACCACTCTCACTCACCACTCAGTCTCCGTCATCAGGTGGGACCGTCACAGCCAGATTTGCTGCATCAAGTGAGGCAGGGATTCAAGATGCAAGCTCTTAAATACCAGTTAAGGGGGGGGGGGGAGGAGAGGGGGGGAGGAGCTTAGAATGTGGTAGCCAATGAATGGAACGTATCGGGAGGGGGGGGGGCGGAGCTAAAAGAGGGGGTTACTAAGTGCCATGGCACTCTGGTTGACCCCGAAGGACACGTGACCGGTAAAGTCTACACAGGGCCCCCAGGTGGGGGCTAGGGGTGGTCACGTGTCAGGGCCGAGATCCTATTCGAGGGTTCTCGAAGGTGGTCGTGGCTAAGGGCGGAGCCAGCCACACCACAGAGGGACCAGTTGCTGTGGTTATCCTGAAGGATCTACGTTCTACGTCCGAGAAGAGTCACCAAAAACGTGGACCTGGACCCAAGCTGGGGTCCTGTCTGTTGTAGCTACTCCCAGTGTGATTAGTGTAGTTAGCCTGGTGGTCCACCACCATTGGTTGTTATCTGGTGGTGAAGGGGCAGTCACCCCTTCGTGTTGGTATCGATAAATGTGTTGCCTCCAAAGAATACGTCTGCGACTCAGTTGAACTCGGTACACATGCGATGGCGGTAAGTCACTGGCTGCTGTTGCTGCTTCCCCCAGTTTGGTGGAGGGTTACCGCACATGTCATCCATGCCCACTATATAATAATAAAAACGGGGAAAGGTGAAGGATTTACTCAAGACTCAGGAGGAAGGGGCGATAAAAGCTTTTATTATCGTTAAGTACCACCACGTTAACGCAAGAAAGTGAAGATACAACACTCGAATTAACCCCCAAAGATACACAACACCATTACTGACTTAGTACTGCTTGGAAGCGAATCATAAAATAATACATTGTTTAAA